ATCATGGTGTTGAGAGTGTTTGTCGGTCCTTCTGATGTTTACATGTTTTTACTCAAGATTTTGTTAATTTGCCTGTCAAGGTTAACGTTGATGGATTCGTTAAAAAATCTGTAACTCTCCGCAAACTTCCGGAAATTGACGGGAAAGCTGGTTCTGGCTCGGAGCCGAAGGGACCGAGCGCAGAAGCGCGAGTCGAGCGCCAAAGGCGCGAGCAATGTAGGGGGGTCCGGGAGCATTCTCCCCCGGGAAATTTTGTATTTTTAAACCTTCAATGACACATTTTCCTGCACTTTGAAAGGCAAAATTAGGCGTAACGAAGAATTATTCATTAACGCTTAACGCTGAATTTAGGATGACAAATAACGTTTTACGTTGAATTAAAAGGACCAATAACGCTTCACGAAGAATATACCGATAACGCTTAACGTTGAATTAGAGCAGGCCGGCAACGATTAACGGTGAATTAAAATAGCCCATAACGGTTAACGAAAAAGGGCATGCAGACCCTCATACTAGTATACGGATTGTAGGATTCTGCGAAAACGGGAAATATTTGGCGAGTAGAGTCAAGCCGCGGGATGATGTTACCGTAATGTATTGTCTGTAATATTCCCTCTAAGCTATTTGGCTAAATTCTACTGTTTTTGAACCCGTGGTCTTACTAAGTTAGTCCGGTAGAGCCAATCTCATGCTTGTATCGCCACCGTGTCACATGTATGTTCGTGGCAGACTTACTTTGCTGTGTGCATCTCACTGAGTAGACTGGACTTGCATATCAGTACCCTGCCCTCCAAAGAAGGAAATGGAAGAGTTGGGATATTAATCATAATTACATCAAGCTGGTGTTGAACTTAAGCTTTACAAGTGCACTTGGATAATGCATGCAATCGTACACTGACATGTAGTATTGGAGCAAAGAGGATATAAAAATTAAGGGAAAACTTTCGTGAGTATGATATAATGATTGGCAGACAAGCCTAGACATGCAAACTTCCTCTTTCATGTCTGCTATTGGAAATACCCTAATTTGGAATTTTATTGCCTTACAAAATATATTGTTTCTGGTACATGTGCAGGGCTGCTAAATATTGTGCCAAGTCTTCAGGAAATTTCTCGAAAAAGTCAAGAACTTTCCGCACTCAGGACGGGCGGACGTTCCAACATCCACATCAGTTTGAAGATGACGCCGCATCAAGTAATCATATATGTGTACAAAATTTCCTATCTGGACGCATCAGCTATATATAGTTATATATAGCCTATAACGTTACCACCAAAAGTGAAAGAAATAAAGCTACGATGTCTAAATTGCAAGTTTTAAAGTCAACGAATAATCATCAGTGAAAGAAACAGTCAGAGTGAAGAGAGAAAGAGAGAGCGCGTGCTACACACCACGTCGTAAACCCTTCACTGGAAACCATTTAACGTTAACAGTTATGTACATTCTAGGCGGGGTTGTCACCTTTCAACAATACATTAATGACGTCCGTAGTAATGTCTGGTCTAGAACACAGGGCGGGTGTGCATGTGAGTCCTCAACAGATACAGCCGCTTGACTTAAAAAGTGGCAGGACGTTGAAGGCACGTCACACCCTCAAAGGAAATTAGAAACGACAATTCATTTTGGATAGCAAAGCCATGACTAATACTTCTATGTTGAAACTTGCCGTCATTGGGAGTTCACACTGTCTACACCTGACCCCTCTTTCTTCCCGACACCATGGCGCTTGATCAAGAAGGAAGTAGTGGTACTGTCAACTTGTCGATTACGGTCGAGTTAGAACAAAATAACTCTTTTCTTTTGAGTGTACTCCTAAAACGTGACCATAAACGTGCAACGACCCGAATACACAATTCTGCTGTAACGCTAACCTTTCACTGTCATATTCTCTGCAGCACGCTGACGAATATCAGAAATATCAAAGCCAAATGTCGCACCCGGTCCGTGTGACGAGTTGAAGTGCCACAAATGTTGAAGCAAATTATAACCTTACAGGTCTAACGTGTTATTAACGTTACAACATTGCTGAGAAAGGCATTGACTGGCAATGACATTTCTTATATCACGACCTTGATGATGACAAGGTCGTCAAAGCGAGGAGCTTATCAAGGCGTTGCACTTGTCTTTTTGAAGTTTTTTACTTCTCTTCCTTCCTAATAGGTAGTCCTTCGCAATTCTTTTATTCTGGTCACGAATAAAGCCATGAAATGTACACGATATGATGTCATGCAGACATGTTACAACAGACTGTCACGCGAATTGTTACATCTGGGAAGCCCAGCGCGGGGAACACCCTTCGTCAGTCATTGCGAAATAATGGGAGTTTTTTGTGAGCTGAAACCTTGAGTCACGCCTGATCATCCCGCGATCACATGGACAGCAGGCTTACATCCGGGACCTATCAGCTGAGGAAAGAGAGGGACCGACCATTACTGCAACTATAGTGGGGTGATCATCTTCCGCTCAGTACCTTACCTGTGACCTACCGGACATTTGACCGGGCGGTCGAGGTGGAAATACTGTGCTAATGAGTAATCACCTGTATGAACCACCTGTCATAGGGCGTGTTTAAGGAAATCGGACAATATAGACAGCGCATAAATTATAATAGTCTATGTGGACGCGTTACGGGCATTGATAGCTCGGTTGCTACAATGTCCCATGCAGAAAATTATTTTACTTTCGTCAATTTTATCTTAACATGTTGCTGTGTGATTAAATGTCAGTGCGCACGAGGACACGTACTCCTTTCCGCCCAAGCAATGCCTCCATCTCGCTTGACTAACGGCTCTCCCCCTGCCCTCCGCCAGCTGATCGCCCGTTTTGAAGTAAACAACTTCACCATGATGTAATAGCTAGTGGCTAGCCGCGCCTCCTCGTACGCCCATTGGTCAAAAATTTAAATCCCCGCACGTGGATTGGCCCTTTTGCGGCGTGAGGCGTGGCTTACGCGTGGGACGCCAGCCTGCTTCTGCTGTAGCGAGGGATATTTTCCGTTGCACTTCAGTTCTGTTTGAGCTCATCTGCCGGACCTTTTTCATTCTCACCCTTTATGTCTTAGTGCCAGTAGGCTCGTAGTTGTTTTATTCTCGTAGCTGTACATTTTCAACAACATGTGGTGCTTCGTGTCGCGCCCGGATTCCGTCCTGCTGGAGGTGGAACTTGGACCGAAGGCCTGTGGACAGGAATGCCTTGACAAGGTACGAGCCCGTACTTGTAATTGTTCAATGAACTTATTGCTGCCTTTGTCAAGTTTCTCTCAGATATTATGGCTACTTGATTGATTGCACTTAGGCCTGTTATGTGGCATATTTTGTCTTAAATTTCGCATATTTTAGGTGAGTTCAGAGAGCTGGATGTGCTTTCTCGTAAACAAGTTCAGTCAGCCCGTAGTGTATAGCGGCACAGGTATATCACTATCAGGGCTGTAGGATAAGTCTCGAATTTTCCCTGAACCCACAGCTGATCATATGTAATCTCGTTGCATCTTACAGGTATGCAAGAAGCTCGGAATCGTGGAGGTCGATTACTTCGGGCTGCAGTACTCGGGTGGCAAGGGCACCGACTCCCGACCACTGTGGCTCAACACCCGTAACCGCCTGAGCCGGCAACTGGACGGCCCACCACCTTACCGTCTTCGGTTCAGAGTAAAGTTCTTCGTCCCACCCCACCTCCTTCTGCAGGAGGCCACCAGGTGAGAAATGCACATTAAAAATTTCTAGCAGTATGTGTAGACTTGCCCTCGTGGTAAAGGGGAAGATTACTCATTCATAGTGAGAGTTGCGAAATCACTGCCGGCAGACCCGGAAGCGTGTTTCTCTGGAACGGTACACTTCGCCTCGGCCAGAAAAAAATTCAAATTTTCGCCAGCATCAAAAAACTCAGGTAACCTCGTCCAAGTATTTAAAACAAGTGTCATTTCCACCCCATCTATCACGTTCTAAATGGAGAAATAATAGCTGGATAATGCCATGCTTTTGTTTGAGGAACCCCCTCCCCCCATTCTGTCCCGCTGCCACTCGGGCCATCCATCAAAGTTGTTTTTCACTTTCCGTGCCTCCCCGCTGACCTTCGTTCGGCGACCAAACCGCTTAACCAGCAGATTTCTGCCGACACACGCGAGAAGAGATGTTTTCCAGACTTCTGTTTTTCTTGACACACACAGCTGCCGTTGTACAAACGTTTTGGAATTGCATAGTGATTGTTTGGAATATCTTGAACGAGAAATGTGAGCAAAAATGTTCGTATATCAGCAGTGGCCGGAGGCTTGTTGTTTTTTTCGGAGTTGTTTTTCTGGCCTCCGGCATTTGCACCAGCTTCGTTGCCAGCTTACATCGATAAAAACATGTTGTTGTTTTTTAGTTGGTAATACATCAGCTTATCTTGTTCCACCACAGATACAGAATGGTGTGTATTGTGCACTATACAACATGTGTAAATGTTTAAAGCTCATTATGTAATATCAAAGACTAAATTATAATTTGTAGTTGCATCTACTTGAGTGCGACAAAAGTAGTCGACATTGTTGTGCCTGGCCGGCTGTTCGAAAGTCAGAAAACAAGTAGAGGAAAACAAAGTTTGCTGTCCGGTGTTTGCACAAATCGAGGCCATCTTTCGGCACCGTGTGGCCCCGGCTGTCCAGTGGGACACCAAGTACTGAAAAACAAGTGGATCACATTTCATCGTTACGCAGAAATAGCTGTCTGGGTCTTCCCTTCGTTGGTAACCCTTGATAAAAAAAAGTCACCACAAAACCGTGCACTTGAGCACTTCACCACTGAGAGCTGTAGAGAATATCCAGGTGATGCAATGGGGATTTCGCCGGCTCCGAGAGGCTATTGTTCAAGTCCCAGCTGCGGTTAGGCTTGTGCAAACAATGCTCCTGTAATTTCACACCCAAGTAACCGCAGATGCCTCGCAGTCCACCTGATTTTCCCTAGATGCAAAGTCAAGTTCTACCCTTATCCCAGGGTTTAAGAGCTCAAGGGTTGCAAGAAAGTTTCCACAATGAGACAGTTAGTTTGCAAATCAGAAATCCCCCTTTAAGGGTGCATGAAATGGTATGGTCCAGTAAAGGTTGTTTTTCAGACTTTGCAGATGTCCCATGATGCAGTAGTGCTGTACATTAAATTGGGCCATTTAGCCCAGATACAAGCATTATTCCAGCAGTTAGGAAATTCATAGTCACCTGGGACAAGGACAAGCAAGCTAGGCAGATATTGCAGTCTTTTTGTAAGCTCTTCAAATTTCAATACAAAGGCTGAACCACAGAGGTTGGTTGTAGGTTTCAAGTTCATATTCAAAGGCAGAACTTCTATTGTCTTGCACTAACTCGAAAGGGCAATGTCAAGCATACACGCAAATCCTTTCTTGGGATATAAAATTTACCATACCCCATCTCAAAATAAACTATTGTTCAGAAGAGATAGGCTCAGAAATAGCAGAAGAAAAGATTTCACATATAAGTTAAAATCATTTCCAGTTAGTAGATGTGATATATTGCTGTATGAATGAAGCAAAACAGCTGCAAGCTTTTTGTAATCTCATTTGAGTTTGGTCAACCACCTTCTTAGTCCTGGTAGCCCGGTCAGCAACATGAGAATGATGTGGTTAGTACAAATTACCAAGTGACAGTCTCCCACTGCAATTTATAACAACGCATTAACCAGGATATGTTCAAGCTGTTAGGTGGGAAGGTGCAGGATATGATTTCGTTTGAAATGATGCAAGAGATAGTCAAGGAATTATGGGCAAACTGGAATGACACCCACTAGCCACCTATTGCAGGATGCTAGGCCACTTGTGAAAATAATCTATTTTGTACCGTCACATTGTGGTGAAGGGAAGTGTGAAGCATGAAGGCAATACATGCCAAATTCTTCTCAATGAAAGCAGCTTCAAATTTCAGTTCACTGATATGTATTTTTTGTCACCAGTACTTGATGATCCATCAAGTGCTGTTTTCAGAGTAGAATACCGGGTAAAAAGAAAGAAAATTGCAGCTGTTTATGATAGGTTGTTGTTGTTCAGTGACTGTAAATAATTTTTCTAATCGTTACAAAAAGGTTTAATCTTCTAAGAACTACAGTGAGTGATGTCACCATGCTTTAATTTTTCACATTGTCAATTCCTGAACCTATGTTGTTCTATCTTGGACAGATAAACACATTGAGTGCATTTAGAACAGTTGGTTGTTGTAGAAGCCACCAGGTGACATATCAAAAGTCCACTCTGCCAAGTAAAGCTAAGGAGCTTTGCTTGTTTCATGTCTTGTTGAACATCTCAAGCTTCTCTGCATGGAAGGGAAGAACCCTTAAGTTTTGCAATTGGGGAACTGGATGGTTGCTTATCAGTAACTGTTGTGTGCAAACTGTGGCAGGCTGTGTTGACAAGGTGCACACTTTACCTGAGCTATGTCAACAAGATTCTGCCAAGGCAGTGGTTCAGTGGGAGGGGTTACCGTCACGCACAGGTGTGCAAATGGTAACAGGTAAACATGTCCAGCTAAGCCAGCAGTTTAATTTTGAACTTAGTCCAACTCTGAGGAAAACAGGAAAGAAATTGAGTATATGTACTGCTAAAAATCTG